GCAGAAACAATTGTACGTTTTATAGATGACCTTTGTTGAATGTCATGACGATCGACTGAAACATTTAAATTCAACAAGTGAATTATATTTGAAATATGTGGGGAAAGGGGGGGGGGTATCAAATCAATATCAATAAATCCGCTTACATTTCACACAAAAACTACACTTTGAAGCTTCTGAAGTATTGATTAACTAAATGTTCAGATTGTTCTGGTTTTGGAAATTAACAAAATCTCAACATAGAGCCTTGCCTATTGAACCGTTAACGAAGCAAATATTATTGGACGTATAAAAAAAAATGTCATTTACCAACCTTCAATCTTGCACCAGCACAGCCTCCACTCCGCCCTCCAAAGAAGGAGTAAACCCAAACATTATGTTGGTAGATTTCAGAAATAATATTGTTGTATCGATCGAACTACGTGTGGGAAATCGTAAGAACAATTGATTTGGTGTTAAATTATTAATAAATATTTACAGAAAGTAAATTACGTTCTTCGTAAGGACAAATGAAATCGTGTACAAAATTCACAAAAAGTTGCGAACGTTTCTTTAGTTTCAACTATCACCGTTGCTGTTTCGTTTTCAGTAAACAAACTGTGGGGTACTTAGAATTATAAGGTGAGTGGAATCAGTGAAATGATAGATATTCACTCCATCAGTTTCGCTCAACTGAGTTTATTTTTCAACGTTCGCGTGTACTTCAGTCATTAAATTCAACAAATTAGAAGTCACTAACATTTCCATAAAGTAGTTTCAAGTAAGCAAATATAACACTATATATATTTTTTTTATGACGCTTCGTTTGTTTGTTTGAAGTTCAGCACAAAGCTACACAATGGACTGTCTGTGCTCTGCCCACCACCACGGGTATCGAAACTCGGTTTCTAGCGTTGTAAGTCCACAGACTGTGCCACTGGGCAGGGGGGGGGGCGATGACGCTTCGTCTTTTAGAAGAGGGCTTGAGAGTTAGGGCGCTCGATTCGCAATCTGAGGGTCGCGGGTTCGAGTCCCAGTCACCGAACATTCTCGCCCTTTCAGACGTGGAGGCATTATAACGTGACGTTAAATTCTACTATTCATTGGTAAAAGAATAGCCCAAGTGCTAGAGGTGGATGGTGTTGACTAGCTGCCCTCCCTCTAGTCTATCACTGCAAAATTAGGGACGGCTAGCCCAAATAGCCCTCGAGTAGCTTTGCGCGAAATTCAAAACAAAACAAACCAAGCTTAGACTGTTTGTTTGTTTGTAATTAAGCACAAAGCTACACAATGGGCTATCTGTGCTCTTCCCACCACGGGTATCGAAACCCGGATTCTAGCGTTGTAAGTCCGCAGACATACCGCCGTGCCACTGGGAGGCACCAAGCTTAGAAGCGAGACATGATCACTCGAAGTTACGTTATCTGAATATAATTGAGTCACGAATACTTCAAAAATGCCCCAGTAGTAAACCTAAGGGCTTATAACGCGAAAACTCATATATCGACACCTGGTGGGCAGAGCGCAGGTAGTCCATTACTTAACAACAAACAAATCAACCGTCTACTTCTCTTCATATCGAGAAGTAATACGTTTTCACCACTAGAATGCACACTTCCAAAACTGGATACAGTATAACACATTGGTTGTAAAACCTTCTTTTTTACACGCCAGCATGTGAAGTTATGTTGCTGTTGTTG